GCTTGTCGATCTCCTCCGGGCTGGGAAGCGGCGGCGCCCGCTTCGCCCTGGCTGGCGCGTGGTCGGGCTCCGCCTCTGCCAGCGGCGCCCCCTCGCGTTGGGGCTGCTCGGCTGCTGCCGCGGGCGCTTAGGCCCCGACTAGGTTAAGCCGCGGCGTCTCGAACGCCGTCGCGGTGGCTCCCGCGACGCGCCCTCGCACCCAGAACAAGCTGTTCTGTCGCACCAGAGGCGCGTTGGCGATGCCCTCTGATAGGCTGAGCGCCGCGGGCGCGATGTACGCGCCCATCGGGGAAAACACCGCAGAGTGGCCGTTATCGCGCGCCTCAGCGACTCCCATGGTGGGGTGCGAGACGTCGGCGACGTGGCAGTCGATGCCCACTCCGCGCGCGTCTGGGCTGTCCAGCAGGTCGTACTGCACGGTCTTCTCGCCGCGATGCCTCGCGCGCCTGTCGTCCGCGTCGCGGATGTCGTAGAGCAGGGCAGGCTCACGCGTCGCCGCGCTCGGGGCGCGGCCGCGTGGGCGCGTCGCTCTGGAGGCCCCCCAGTCCACCATGATGTACTCCTCGCAGCTCTCGTTGTCGCCTCCTGGGCTGCCAACCCGCGGAGCTCGCAGCGTCGAGATCCGATTCGCGGGGCCCGCTGCCTGGGCCGCCAGGCGCAACGCCCACTGGATGGCGGACGCGGTGTCTCCCGCGGGCCCCGCGGCCCCGCCGCCGCTTGAGCTGGCGCTGCAGCCGCTCTGAGCGGCCACTGAGAGCGCCGTTGACAGCTGCGCGGCGTCGGCACGCGCCTGGGCGACGCTGTTCGGCGCCACGGACGGCGCGCTCGACGCTGCTGAGCCCGTCGCAGGCGTGAGCAGCTGAACCAAGTTCAACGCGTCCTTCAGCTCGATCGTCATGCTGGCCGTGCTGTTCACTATCGAAGTCTTGTCAGGGCAGTCTCTCATCGGGTGGCCCGTCTGAGGGCACTGCCTGTACGTGCGTGTCTCGACGCGCCGGCCATCGTTGCCATCTCTGCCCTTGCCGTCCTTCTGCGTCTGGTGCTGGGATCGGGATCCCCTGCTTCCGTCGTAGAGCTTCCCGCATCCCTTATTGCCGCCGTCTGTTCCTTTGCTACTCCCCCCCCTCCCCTTGCCTTTGTCCTTCTTGATGGCGTTTGCGACCGTCGCCACCCCGGTTGGCGCCATCCTTCCTGCTGCCTACGTCGCCGTCAGGGACCTGATGTCCATCGGTGCTGGCCCGCTGCCGTCCGCCGCGGTGGCCCCCGCTGCGGTGCCTCTTGCTGCGTCCGTGAACGTTTCCTGTTCGTCGGGTACGTCATCGCGCGCTTTGCGATCCCGTCGTAGTCCCCGAGGCGGTCGGCGTGGACCATCAGCCGCTGCTGAAGATCCCTGTCCCGGGCCCCCGCGATGAGGATCACCGCCTTGATGTCGCCGGGCACCGCGCTGCCGCGCCGCTCGTGCGTCTGGGCCACCGCGTCGAACTCGTCCACGTCGGTCTCGATGGTCGCTGCTCCGAACGTCCACCCCATCAGCTTCCTCATCCGACCCAGAGTTGACGCTGGCTGGCCGGGCTCGAACTCCTCCACGAGCTTGCGGCGAACCAACAGTCCTTCGCCGTTCGGGATCGGCCGCTGCGTGGCGAGCGCCTTGCCTCCCAGGAGCAGCACGAGCATGTGGTGCAACTGCCGAGACGCGCCGACGAGCGCTGGGCTCGTCAGGTCCATCGCGTCGTTGGTGACGCCCCCTTCGGCCTGTCGCCCGGCCGTGACCATCTCCTAGTGCAGCTCGTCGTGGAGCGTCGCGATGCGCGCCGGCAGCTTGAACGACCACGCGGGCCACGCTGCCTCGCTGCCCTTGAACTGAGCCCGCTTCGTCAACAGCTTCGCGTCGATGATGTCCCACGTCCGACGACCCTCGCTCCTCGCCGGCACTGGGGTCGCCGCCGCGGCGCCCCCCGCGGCGGTCAGCTGCTGGGGCGTTTGCTGCAGCTGCTGAAGGTGAGCGTTCTGCTGTCTGGCTGTCGCCCCCGCTCGCGCCCCCAACTCCTGGGCTCGCTTCTCGGCAGCTTCCGCTCGAGCCGTCGCCGTCCGCAGCGCGTCCATCACCTGCTGGGCAGTCGGCTGCGGCTGCGGCGGGGCTCCTGTTGCAGCTGCGCCCGCGGCTGCGGGGTCGCCCGCTGCCAGCCGCGGCGCTGCTGATTGCAGCTCCTCCTCCATCCCTGGACCGCCAAGCTACGAAGGCCGCGTAGGCTTCGCTCTCGTGGGGCATGAAGGAGTGACCGTCCTCGTCCACGACGTCGAGCGGCCACGCGTGGCCCAGCTCCTTGTCGAAGACGACGTCCCCGACCACGCGATGCGTGAACGTTGGCAGGTCTTCTCGTGCCACGACCACCGACCACCGCGTCACGTGCCCAACGATGTCCCCGACCACCGCGTCACGTGCCCAACGATCTTCTCGACGAGGCTCAGCGTCGACTCCAGCAGCTTGCAGACGTCTCCGCGCCGCTGTCGTCGCCAGGCGGCGTCCTCCGACCGCCGCCGCCCTCGCTGCTTCGTGCGCCCCGTCGCTGTGGCGCCCGCCGAAGTCGAACGTCGGCCCGCAAGAATATGGGAACTGCCCTTCGCGGCCACCGGTGGTCCCCGCTGGGCGCTGGGACGCCCTCCGCAGCCCGCGGTGCTCCCCGCTGGGCTGCTGGGCTGGGCGGCTGCCCTCGGCAGCCCGCGGTGCTCCCCGCTGGGTTGCTAGACTCGCACCTCCGACGCAGACGCCGTGTATCCTCAGGCCACGGGCTCCGCTACCATGCGCGGCGCTCCCCTCGGAGCCGCGAACTTGTTTGATCCAAAAGGGTTGCGGTCCTTCGCCCTCGCAACACCCCTAGACTCTTCCTAACTCTGGCAATATCGGAGTGTACGGAGGTACGGTGTACGAATGTACTGGCTGGCCCGCACGGGGGAGCGCTCACCGCCCGTGCCCGGGCGTGGCCTCGCCGCAGGGGTGGGCGGATCAGGACAGCTGAACATGAATATGGCATAAGGATGCCTTGCTCGCTGTGGCGGGGCCTCCCTGGAGGGGCGGGAGGAGCACCAAGCCTGAGAGCTAGTTTGGTATAACGACACCCTGTTCTCTCTGGCGGTGCCTTCCTGGCGCTCTGCCTGGGCCTCCGTGGAGGGCGCCTTGCACAGGCCGCGGAGCGCGCCCTGCAGAAGCCGCAGAGCGCGCTGCCGCCCATGGACGTCGATTTGGGTGTCCCCCGGCGCTGGATCGCCCGAAATCTCCCCAGGCAGTGGTGGGCCCGCCGAGGCCCGGCCGAGGCCGCAGTGCGCGCCGCCGCCCAGGGACTTAAATTTCGCCCCCCCCCCCCCAGCGCCAAAGAGCTCGACATCTGCGTCCCTGGGAGGTGGTGGGCGCGCAGACGGGGGAAAACAACTCGGGGCCGCTGGGGGCCCTCTCCCCCAGGCGCCACGCCGCTCAAGAACGTGGATGTTGGACGCTCAGGCGCCAGGGGAGGCCAAACCCGAAGTCCTTGGGCGGCGGGATTACTCCTGCGGCTGGCTTTTCAGGCGTCACCATTACGGAAACAGGGGGAGGGGTCGGGGTATGTGTAAACGAATGGAATGATACGCGTAAGGTTCAAACCGCCACAAGAACAGTAATTACACTCGTAGGAACGAAGCTAATATACAAAACAGAAATGGTACTAATCCTGCGGATGCTCATGCCAGAAAAGAGAGAGCACATTCCATTGGTATTTGGCCCGGCGGAAAACACAAAGTTCGGACTCGCCGCTCCACACCGCCGACCAAAAATGTCTTGGCTGGGGATAATCGTCACCTGGAACTTAGAGGGGCGTATCAGTAACCGGGCCTCCTGCGATCTACAAACGCACTACGTACATGTAGACATATATGGTGTGAATTGGAGGTGGTGGCTATGAGGTGGAAGCTACGCTGTGCAGGTTATATTGTGCAAGCTGTGCGGTGCAAGTTATGTGGTGTAAGTTTCGTGGTGCAGCGCACGTGGCGCCCGCGAGCGCCCACGAGGCGGCACGGGCGGCAACGTGGCGCAACCTCGGCCTCGGCCGACCCACCCGACGGCTGGGGCGCACACGAGCGCCCACGAGGCGGCACGGGCGGCAGCGTGGCGCAACCTCGGCCGACGCACCCAGCGCACGGGGCGCCCACGAGTGCCCACCAAGCGGCGCAGGCGGCAACGTGGCGAAATCCTCGGCCGCCGGCCCACCTAGCGCACAGGGCGCCCACGAGCGCCCAGGAGGCGGCACGGGCGGTAACGGCGCGCTACCTCGGCGTCCTCATACACCGCACGGGGCGCCCACGAGCGTCCACGATGCGGCAACGTGGAAAATCCTCGGCGAACCAGTCCAAGTGCTGAAGGAACAAACTCAAGGACCCCTAAGTGCAAGCGCTCTTTGAGGAACATTTCGCGGTTTGCGCTCTGGGTGCATCCGGACGCGACTCAAGACTCCCGAGAGTCCCCGTCGGGCCGAAGATGGCTTGAGTATATCTGGGAGGCCAGGTCTGCAGAACACCCTAAACGGACCTCAAGGGGCGCAACCGACATGTTCGGTCAAGCTGAAACTGATGCAACACACCCAGCGTCAAGCCCAAACTTTGGACAGCAACGAGTGGTTGGATATGGTCTTCGTCGGCTTGACCGGCGAAGCGTCGCTTGACCACATTGACGCCGCGTTTTGGGTGGTTCTGCAGAGGAATGCGCTCTCTGACCCTCGGCCCTACTCCAAAGATGGCCTAAATGCTCACGCATGGCCCTGCGATGGGACTGAAAAGCTCCAAGCTGGTCCAAGAACGACCAAAGGTGGCACAACAAGTCCCCAGGAGGGCCTGAAGATCGTCCAGGGTTGCCACTGGACGGCTCAACCTTGTCAGCGAAATCGCTCAGATTGATCCCACGAACCCCCACATAGGATTCCACCAAATAACAAATTCATCAGAGGGGGGGGGGGCAGCGGCACAGGGGTGGCCCTCTGGATTGAACAGGTCAAGCGCATCGTCATCATTCAGAATCTTGATGGTCTCGGTGAGGGCGGCGAGCTCGTCGTGACGCGTCTTCACGCGTTCCTCGTATTCCTTGTCCTTCGTGGAGCAGCCCGATTCCAACTCTTGGAGGAGCTTCTGATCCTCGAGCAGCGCAACTTCCGAGTCGCTCAAATCATTCCTCATCTGGACGATGGTCACGCCCAGCGACCCGCTCTTCGAGGTCTTGGCCTCGATGGACAATGTAAGTGCGTCGATCTCTTTGGCCTTTGCGGCGACCAAAGCCTCGAACTCCTTGATTGCGTTGGTCTCGGTATCAGAAGCGTCTGCAAGGCTCTTCGAGAAACCGTCGCCCATTTCCTTGAGAATCCCTGTTATCTCCCCGCTCTGGGGCACGTACGAGGAGCTGTCCTTCCCAGACAGGAATGAAAGAAGCGCCTCGCGGTCTTCGTCCTGGATGGCGTCACTCTTGGTCAGGACGATCTGGCGCAACAGGCTCGCCGAGGTAGTTTGTAGGAATCCACCCGCCATTCCCTTGGTCAGCGCGGCGACTGCCTGCTTGATGGCGGAGATGTAGCTCTCGAGCTCTGCCTTTGTTGCCGCGAACCCGGCGGCCTGCTTCCCCCGGATCGAGGTCGCCTTGGCGACGGCCGTCTTGGCTTCAGCACGCTCCGTCTGCGCATCCCCCAACCCCTGCTTCACCTGGGCGAGCTGCTCCTCCGCTGCCTTCACGTCGGAGCCAAGCTGTGTGCTTGTCGTGCCCGCAGCGGAGATGCTTGCAGAGAGATCGGCGGCCCCCGTCTTGCAGTAGCATGAGAATCTCTTGTACATCTCTTCCTCCTTGTCGCCTTCCGCCTCAACCTTCTTCTGCATCGATTGCAACATCGAGACAACCCTGCGCACTGGATTTGCGGCCGCCCTCTTGTTCGACCGCAAGGAGGCGGCATGAGCGGTGGCTGGGCATGCGACCAGAAGCAAGGCTGCGAACTTGAACGCGGCCATCCGGGTGGCGCGATCAGACTGCGTTAATGACTGGTGGGGCAAACGTGACCTATTGAGCCAAACCGGCAGCGTGTGGAACCCGTTGCTTCTTTTCCACTCGAGGGGATTCCCCGATGGGACCGCATGGTCACACAGAGGTCTCTGGCTTCAGGGGGAAAGCGCGGCCGAGGAGAAGGTAGAGGATGAGGACAAACCAGGCGCGCTCGCGCAATACCTGACATCCTACCCCTCCCTCCCATCTCTTCCAATCGCCAGCCGGTGTGTCATCGATGACTTCGATCCCACAAGTAACCCGACTGTGTGATGAAACCTTTGATCTCACAAGGGGGGCCTTGTACAGTGGGCGAAGAGGGAGGATGAGGCGATGAGCATGAGGACGACCAAGCAGGAACAGCAGGAGGGTAGAGGAAGCAAGAGGACCGCTGGAAGTCGGAGGGGGAAGGATGGGAACGGCAACGATGAGAAACGAATCGGATCCAGACATGTTTCCCTCGATGGGACGAAAGCATACAGCTGAACGGCCAGAGCAACATGCCGACCCTCACAGGCGGCCAACGCTGCAGCGGCAACATCATGTTTGAGGGACCGAGAACGCTTTGATTGGGAAAACCATATCGGATCGGAGTTCAACTCCGGGACAGTCCAGTGCGACAAACAAGCAATATGCGGGATGGGCCGAGGAAATAAGCGCACCATAAGGGAAGAGAGGAGAACAGCACTCACACTCAGTAGTCATGGAGGTGAACAGGCATTTTGCTTGATCAGAAAACGAAGCCATTGCATACACATAAACTTTCGGGGCCTGCACGTATTTCTCGGATCTGCTTTGTACGCCCCTCCCTGGCGCGGAGCGCGCCAGGGGCCCAACACAGATTCAAGAACTCCGCGAGAAGCTCCGAACATCTATGTTTGTGTTGTTTCGTCTCCTTCGATGGACGCATGCTCCGCACCTGGACAGGCGGGAAAGGTGAACACCCGATTGGGCATCAGCAAATTCGGGAACTGGGGAGACTAGCACGGTGATGCTCACGAAACGCCGCGCGTCTAAAGCAAGGCTCCTGACTTCGCGTCCACCATAACGGCACCCATGGGGCCACCCTGGAACGGAAACTCTGGAGTGTCAAAGACATGTACACAAGCACTCACCACATTACCTCTGAAAAACCGCCCGATTGATGACTTAGGGGCCAATCGAAGCCTCATGGGAGAACCATCTCCCGCTAGCTGAAACCAGCTTGGAAGTCATCTCGGCGCATTGGGGGTCGAGGGGCCGTGTTGGAACCATCTTGGGCCACCTGGGCCTTGGGCGCTTTAGCCCTTCCATCCGACAAGCGTCCAAATCCATGGTACCGGTACCCCTCCCTGACTAGGGGAAGAAAGGGCTTTGGAAGAATGGAGAGAAGTCCCGTTCTACCACCTGTGCCTCAAGGGCTGGTCCGATTCGGCAATTTAACTTGGTTTGCGCTCAAGCTGGACCAGATCCCAAGCGATACGCATTGGACGAATAATGTTTGAGGCTGCGGAGACATCTCAAACATGTTTGGGCGTCGCTCTCTTCGACGACACCCATGAAAGTGCCCTGGCGCCAACATTCTGCAGTGCCAATCCGCCACCGTTCCAGGGGTGTCCCCCGTGAGTTCTGGAGTGTTTCGTGTAGGTCATTTGGACGCTGTGCCGCCCAAAACGACTGTCCAAAAGGGTTTCGATTCGCCGAAAGGTCGCCCCAAGACGCCCAAGATGGTCTCCAAACGGCCCACGAGGCCTCCAAGATGCTCCAAGAGGTCTCCAAGACCACCCCCAAGAGGGCCCCAACAGGCAAAACTCATTGGTTACCAATGACTGTCTGAGAGATTGGGGCGTCTCCGCCATTTCGGGGTCCCGACGCTCCAAGACGGCCCAAGATGCCCCCAAGACGCCCAAGATGGTACCGAGACAGCCCGAGAGGTCCCCAAGACGGCCCAAGATGGTACCGAGACAGCCTAAGAGGTCCCCGAGGACGCCCCGAGAGGGATCCCAGAGGGGGGAAACGAACCTAGATGTTGAACCATCCGCCCCTAGAGGGCCCCAGGAGGCCATCAAGAGGCCCCAAAGAGCCCCTCAGGAGGCCCCAAAGAGGTTCGAAGAGGCCACCGAGAGGCTTCCCCAGAGGCGCAACAACTGCCTCCCAGATGTCACCGAGCCTTCCGACGAGATCCCAATAAACGTCCATGAGGACCCTGACCCACTACTCACAACCCAAGCACAACCCAGGCACGGGATAGGCCGAGAGCCGCTAGATCCGCCGCCCCTTGTAGCTTGCCGCAAGGTTGGACGGCGTGCCAGATTTGAATCAGTTTCGCTGTTCCACGGATCCCAAAAGGCTTTCGGCCAATCCCGCGGGCCATCTGGAACGCCGCGGACATTGAGTAGTCCGTCGGTCTTGCCACGCCAGACGACCCTAAGATGGCCTCCAAGAACTGCCAAGATGGGCTGCAAGAAGGCGTCCATGGACCCAGCAGAGCCCAAGATGCCTCCACGACGGACCGAGATGCCTCAAGATGGCCCGCGATGCCCCCAAGACGGCTCAAGGGGCCTCAAACACAGCCTTAGAGGCCTCCACGAGGACTTCTGGGAAGGCCTGAAGAGGCCAAAATCATTGATGTGCCGTAGGTCTTTGAAGGAGGTCGGTGTTCGCTCATTCTCGGCTTCCTGAGGGCCCAAGACGTGCCCATAGGCCTCTAAGGTGGCCCCGAGAGCGACCAAGAGGCCTCCGAGATGGTCCCCTGACTGCCCAAGAGGACCCCAAGATGGCAGTAAGAGGGCCCCACGACGGCCCAGGAAACCTCAAGACGCCCAAGAAGGCATCCCAAAGGGCCCTGATGCGCCTCATGAGTGCCCCAAGTCGGCCAAGAGAGGCCCCCAAGACGGCTTTCCGACGGCGTCAGACGGGCCAGAAATGCCCTCAGACTGCCAATACGCCTCTCCAGTAGCCCCAAGGCCCCCAAGATGCCCAAAGAAGCCCCCCAAAGGCCGCAAGAGTGTCCCAAGAGGCTCTCAAGATGCCTCCGCCTCCTTCTCCTCCTCCGCTGCCGCCGTCGCCTCTCTCTCTCTCTCTCTCTCTCTCTCTCTCTCGTCCTCTTCTCATTTCTCCCCTACTTTCTCCGATGGGGCTTCCACAACTGCTGGGGGAACACATCCTACGATACCTTGGCCGAGCTCTGGCCGCGACGTTCGGCCACACAGGCAATTGAAATGCAAGCGACGGCTGATTCGCCGTAGGCGTCTTCGACATTCTTCAGTTTAAACAAAAAGTCGTTATCTCTTGAGGACCTCCTGATTGGAGCCTTCGGGGCCAAGACCTCCTGGAAGCACCTGCAGCCTTCCTGGCACGAACCCGGAAAGGAATATAGAAATGTAAGGCATTGCATCATTTCAAAGACACCTGATTGGGCGACGGGCACATGCAATGCTGAATGTATCGATGATGATGTACTGTGCCGAGGGCTGTGCTGTGCTACGCCGTGCTGAACTGCGATGTGCCATGCCGCGATTGTGCTCTATATAGCGTTGGGGATCGAGTCCTCCCTGGCATCGGAGTCCTCACCAAACTGATCTGGAGCGTAAGCTCGAGCTGCCTGAGCAGATGGTAGCTGCCCCAGAACTAATCGACAGAGGGAACATGCCAGGAGGACGCGCCGAGGAACGTCCCAAGGGACGCGCCAGGCGACGTGCCAAGGGACGTGCCATGGGCACGCACCGCGGGACGTGCCAAGGGGACGCGCTACGGAACGTGCCAGTGGACGTGCCGAGGGACGTGCCAGGGGACGCTCCGCGCGACGTGCCAGGTGGACTCGCCAAGGAACGCGCCAAGGAACGTGCCAAGGTGCATAGTTGAGTGTATCGATCTTGATGTACCGTGCCGACGGCTGTGCTGTGCTGGGCCGTGCTGAACTGCGATGTGCCATGCCGCGATTGTGCTCTGTATAGCGTTGTGGATCGAGTCCTCCCTGGCATCCGAGTCCTCACCGAACTGATCTGGATCGTAAGCTCGAGCTGCCTGAGCAGATGGTAGCTGCCCCAGAACTAATCGACAGAGGGAACATGCCAAGAGGACGCGCCGCGGAACGTCCCAAGGGACGCGCCAGGCGACGTGCCAGGGGACGTGCCATGGGCACGCACCGCGGGACGTGCCAAGGGGACGCGCTACGGAACGTGCCAATGGACGTGCACCGCGCGACGTGCCAGGTGGACTCGCCACGGGACGCTCCGCGGAACGTGCCAGGCAACATGCCAGGCTGCAATGCTCAGGGTATCGATATTGATGTACCGTGCCGAGGGCTGTGCTGTGCCTGGGCGACCTGGACACGTGAAAACACGCGTTTCGCTCAAGACGTTGTCAGCATATCCTCATGCTAGACATCCGCCTGGGCAACCTGGACACGTGCAAACAAGCGTCTCGCTCGAGACATCCTCAACAAATGCTCATGCTAGACATCCGCCTGGGCGACCTGGACACGTGAAAACAAGCCTCTGGTTCGAGACATCCTCAACAAATCCTCATGCTAGACATCTGTCTGGGCCACCTGGAGGCGTGAAACCAGGCGTCTCGCTCGAGACATCCTCAAGACCTGGGCACGTGAAAACAAGCAATCCACTTGAGAAATCCTCAGAATTCAGGTCCCCAGGAGAGGACACTCTATAACACAAAACAAGCGTTTTGCTTGAGACATCCTCAGCAAATTCTGAAAAACAAGCGTTTCGCTCGAGACATCCTCAATTTTTAATTCGCCGGCCCTACGCGACCTCGTTATTTATCGCAAAAGAAATTCGCCGGCCCTACAGCCGTCAAAACCGGGGGGAAACAAACTAAAAGAGAACCCTGGGCCTTTGCCCTTTCCGGGAAAAACACATGGTTCCAGCTCGGGACACCCATGTTAGATACCCCTCTGCGTGACTTGGATACGCTGAATTCGCGCTCCCGCTCGAGACATCCTCACAACGTCTTCCCTGGAGAGGCCCCCAAAGCGCACCCCCCTGTTCAGAGCAAGAAGCCATCACTTTTCCTCATAATTCGGCGTTGGGCCCGACGCCATGTTAGATACCCCAACTCTGCAAAACCAGCGTTTCGCTCGAAACATCCTCAACAAATTCTGAAAAGCAAGCGTTTCGCTCGAGACATCCCCCAACTCTGCAAAACCAGCGTTTCGCTCGAGACATCCTCAACAAATTATGAACACGATCGACCCACGAACCCGGAAAGGAATATAGAAATGTAACGCAGCGCAACGTTTTCAAACACACCTGATTGGGTGACGGGCAAGTGCAATGCTGATTCTATCGATCTTGATGTACCGTGCCGAGGGCTGTGCTGTGCTTCACCGTGCTGAATTGCGATGTGCCATGCCGCGGTTATGCTCTATAGCGTCATGGATCGAGTCTTCCTTTGCATCCAAGTCCTGACCGAACTGATCTGGATATTAAGCTCGAGCTGCCTGAACACATAGTTGCTGCCCCAGAACTCATTGACAGGGGGACATGCCAGGAGGACGCGCCGCGAAACGTCCCAAGGGACGCGCCAGGCGACGCCAAACGTGCCATGGGGTCGCACCGTAGGACGTGCCAAGGGGACGCGCTACGGAACGTGCCAATGGATGTGCCACGGAATGTGCCAGGGGACGCGACACGCGACGTGCCAGGGGGACTCGCCAAGGGACGCCCCACGGAACGTGCCAAGGAACGTGCCAGGTTGCAATGCTGATTGTATCGATCTTGATGTACCGTGCCGAAGTCTGCGCTGCGCTGCACCGTGCTGAATTGCGATGTGCCATGCCGCGGTTGTGCTCTATAGCGTCGTGGATCGAGTCTTCCTTTGCATCCGAGTCCTGACCGAACTGATCTGGATCTTAAGCTCGAGCTGCCTGAACACATAGTATCTGTCACAGAGCTAGTTGACAGGGGGACATGCCAGGAGGACGCGCCGCGGAACCTCTCAAGGGACGCGCCAGGCGACATGCCAAGGGACGTGCCATGGGGACGCACCGCGGGACGTGCCGAGGGGACGCGCTACGGAACGTGCTGGAGACAAGCGTTTCGCTCGAGACATCCTGTCAAAATCCTCATTCTAGACATCCGCCTGAGCGACCTAGACACGTGAAGACAAACGTTTCGCTCAACACACCCTCAACATATTCTCATGCTAGACATCCGCCTGAGCGAACTGGTCACGTGAAAACAAGTAGTTCGCTCGAGACATGCTCAACACATCTTCATGTGAGACGTCCGCCTGGGTGACCTGGGCACGTGAAAACAAGCGTTTCGCTCGTGACGTTTTCAACACCTCCTCATTCTAGATATCCGCCTTGGCAACCTGTACACGTGAAAGCAAACGTCTCGCTCGAGACATCCTCAACACATCTTCATGTTAGACATCCGCCTGGGCGACCTGGACACGTGAAAACAAGCGTATCTCGCGAGACATTCTCAACACATCCTCATGCTAGGCATCCGCCTGGGCAACCTGGACACGTGCAAACAAGCGTCTCGATCGAGACTTCCTCGACACATCCTCATGCTAGACATCCGCCCGGGCGACGAGGACTCCGTGCACCCAGCGTCTCGCGCGAGCATCTCAAGACAATTCCGGAGCTTGACCTCTGCCTGGGCAACCTGGAGGCGTGAAACCAAGGCGTCACCTCGCTCGAGAACGTCCTCAAGACATGGCACGTGAAACCAAGCATTTCCCTTGAGAGATCCTTTAAATTCTGGTCCCCAGTAGAGGACAATATAACACAAAACAAGCGTTTCGGATCGAGACGTCCTCTGACAAAATCTTCAACCAATCGTTTCGCTGTCTCGCTCGAGACATCCTCAACAAATCCTGGCGCTTGACCTCTGCCTGGGCAACCTGGAGGCGTGAAACCAAGCGTCTCGCTCGAGACATCCTCAAGACCTGGGCACGTGAAACCAATCATTTCACTTGAGAGATCCTCTAAATTCTGGTCCCCAGGAGAGGACAATCTATAACACAAAACAAGCGTTTCGCTCGAGACATCCTCATCAAATTCTGACTAACAAGCGCTTCGCTAGGGAAATCCTCAAATCTTAATTCGCCGGCCCTACGCGACCTCGCTATTTATCGCAAAAGAAATTCGCCGGCCCTACAGCCGTCAAAACCGGGGGGAAACAAAACTAAAAGAGAACCCTGGGCCTTTGCCCTTTGCAGGAAAAACAAGCGTTTCGCTCGAGACATCCTGTCAAAATCCCAAGAAATCTAAATTCCTGCGCGCGGAACGCGGCACGCGCGAGACATCCTCAGAATTCCTGCGCAAGGGGCGCTTTTCCGTGTCGCGGTCGGCTCTGCAAAACCAGCGTTTCGCTCGAGACATCCTCAACAAATTCTGAAACCAAGCGTTTCGCTCGAGACATCCCCAACTCTGCAAAACCAGCGTCTCGCTCGAGACATCCTCAACAAATTCTGAAAAACAAGCGTTTCGCTCGAGACATCCTCAAAAATAATTCCGCCGGCCCTACTCCCGCACGTAATTCATCGCAGAATAATTTCGCCGGCCCAAGTCGCAGGGGGGCCGGGGGGTTAACCTACTAAAAGAGAACCCTGGGCCCGCGCCCTTTCCGGGAAAAAAAACCCTGGGCCCGCGCCCTTTCCGGGAAAAACTGGCCAGCCAAGAGCGGGAAGCGTCGCTTTTGCCCACGAAAATTGTCACAGAACGTCGTGTTCATAACGTCAAAGACACTCGAACCAAAACAGCGACGACCAACAAAACTGTTGGCAATTCACTGTGTTGGTCTGCCGTGTTGCTGTGGTATGCCGTGCTGATGTGGTCTGCCGTGCTCCTGTGCTGTGGTCCGCCGTGCTATTAGGTTCTGCCGTGTTCTTGTGGTCTGCCGTGCTGGTCTGCCGTGCTTCTGTGGTCTCCCGTGCTTGTCTGCCATGCTGCTGTGGTCTGCCGTGCTGGTCATCAATGCTGGTCTGCTGTGCTGCTGTGGTCTGCCGTGTTAAATTGTCGTGTTCCTGTGGCCTGTCAGACTGGTCTGCCATACTGGTCAGCCACGTTCGTGTAATCCGCTGTGCTAATATGCCGTACTGATGTGGTCTGCCGTGCTGATCTGCAATGCTCCTGTGGTCTGCGGTGCCGGTTTGCCGTGCTGCTGTGGTCTGCCATGCTGTAACGTGTAACGCGGGGCCTATAAATGCTAAAAGGGAGCGCACTGAGGGCCCAGGCCCCACTGAGAGGCCCTAGCCCAAAGGGGCCGTCCCAAGACAGGGGGCGGGCCTCAAGGGACCCCTAGAGCCCAGACGAGCCGCAGGAGGCTGCCTCCAGGGCGCATCGGTCCCGAGGCACTGCTCGGCCCGCCAGCTCAGGACACCCGTCAAGGGGCATCAGCGCGAAGCGCTGGAATATAAACAAACATGCAAACATTCGATGGGCGACGCCCCAAACATGCTTGCACTGCCCCAGGCGGCAGGGCGAGGCAGGCGAGGCGCAAGAAACTTCACGCCCACGCGCCGAGGCCCGCGGCCACCAGGGGTCCCACACGCAGAGGGAGGACAGGAGGAGAACGCAGAGGGAGGACAGGAGGAGAGGCAGGCTGGCGCTCCACAGCCAGGAGCAGCGAAAGCTCGGCACACGCGCGTTCGCGCGGTCCGAGCGCCCCAAGGCTGGGGCCAGCGAGGACTCAATCACCTCCATCTCCGTCATCTCTGCGCCGCTTCCTGCTCTGACGCTCAGCTCGGGCCTCCTCGGCCTCCGCAGCCCAGCTCTGAAGGCTCTCCTCATCGAGGCCGTAGGCTCCCAGCCAGGCCTGCCGCGATCCCGCACCCGCCGCGGCACCTCCAGCCGCAACAGGCGCCTCTGTCGAGGAAGAGGCCGCACCGCCAGCGCCGCCCCCAGCAGCGCCAGCCACCGAGGCGGAGCGCTCTTCGCCTGCTGGGGCATCAGGCTGGACTCCGAGCCACTTCAGGAAGCGCACCCTGGCGTCATGCGGCACCTCGGCCTCCTTGCGAAGGCGGGGGGGGCCCGCCCCCTTCGTCCGCGTGTTGCGGACGTGCGGCGTGCCCCCAGGGTGGAGGCCACGCTCCCACCGCGACTTCTGGTCCCGCAGCGACTTGGGGAGGCCCGTTGCACCAGGACAACGCTCCTTCAGCTTGGGCTGCGAGCCAGAGCGCCCGCCTAGCCTCGCATACGCTCCGCACTTGGTGCACGCGATGATATCCTGCTCAGCGCCGTCCTCACCGCACCTGGCGTACGCGAGGGTGTGCCCCGCGAAGGCGAAGACCAGGGCGCCCAGCGCCACTCCGCCGTCGCGCGCCGCCGAGGCCCAGGCGCCATCAGCGGCGGGGCGGCTGCCTGCCTGCTCCCCGCGGGCCTCCACGGCGGCGGGCGCGGCACGCGAACCGCTCGCGGGGGCCGCCAGCAGGCCGTCAGCACGCTCCTCCAGCGGGACCGCGAAGGTGACAGCAGTCCTTCGCTCGTCGCCCTCAGGGAGGCCCTCGCAGTCCTTGGAGGCCCTGCCCTGCCAGACGATCGAGGCCTGCGCGATCCACCTGGAGAGCTCTCTCACGACCTCAATCGTGCCGAAGAATTCGCGCCTGGCAGCCGCGCTGACCCTGTGGAGGGCCGCCCCCGCCTTCGCCAGCCTGCCGGCGTGGGCGTTCCCACGCCACTGCGCCTCCGAGATCCTGCCCTCGCGAACATCGATCTCGGTGCAGTGGGCCGCCACCTTGTTCACCTTGAGCGAGTCCACGTCAAGTGAGGCGTAGACGGCCGGCCACAGGTGCGCATTAGGCTTGTTGGCCGCCGTCGTATACTTCCTGCCGAGCTTCAAGCAGCTGGCCGTGGACGCACAGTCGATGTTGAGCTCGATGATCGAAGGCCCGAGGTAGCGGCTCAGCATCCAGAACGCGAAGTCCTCGCCGTCCTTCGCCGTCTGGAAGGGGCACAGGTCGAGGCGGACCGTGCCGTACACCGCCGCCTGCATGTTGCCGTACTCGTCGCACTGCACGATGCTCCAGCCAGCCCTGCGGATGCACTCGAACTCAGGGTCGAGCGCCGAGCCGTCGAGGTAGAGGCGGCCGCCTAGCAGCCCGTCGGCAGGCCTGTCCACCCACATGACTGCCATCGCGTCCGACCTCCAGGCCGTTTGCGGGGGCTGCGGCAGCCAGCACCTGGAGAAGCACTCCCCTGCCTCCTCACCTCGCTGCCTCACCCGGGTGGCGCAGCGCAGAAGGCGGGCGGGCAGCGAGTCCCTCCTCTCTGCGGCCAGGGCTTGGCACTCGAAAAGCCTGTGCCAGAGGCTGCCACGCGCCTCGCCGCAGGCGCAGCAGCGAGAGTGGCCCCGCTCGCCAGACGCAAAAAGGCGAGTCTGCGGCCAGTGGGCGTTCGACAGGTAGCTCACCACTGCGGCCTTCTCCCTGCAGCTAAACCTGCCGCGCGGGCCGATGACCTGCCCGAGTGCGTCCCAAAACAAGGGCATGGAGGGAGTGCTGTTGTGGTCTGCCGCGCTGGCCTGCAATGCTCCTGTGATCTGCCGTGCTGGTCTGCCGTGCTGCTGCGGTGTGCCGTGTTCCTGCGGGCCGAATCCTCCAACATCCCCACTTCGGGAAAATGCCTCAGGCATAACGCGTGTTTCTGCAAGCGTCGATACGTTTGGTCTGTCGTGCTGTCGTGGTCGGCCGTGCTAGTTTGCCGCGCTGCTGTGGTCTGCCGTGCTGGTATGCCACGCTCTTGTGGTCTGCCGTGTTGTTGTGTTTTCCCCATCTCCTAAGATTGGGTTATTGCTATTACTTGGACGCCTCCTCCTCTTCCTCATACCTAGACTTACTCATACACAGACTTACTCATACACAGACTTACTCAGACTCATACCTGATCATATTAACTTACTCATAATCAGACCTACTCATACTCAGACCTACTCTACTCTGACTTACTCATGCTGAGACTCACTCCTACCCAGACTTACTCATACTCAGACCTTCTCATTGTGTGACTTACTCAACACACAGCAGATTGTGAGGATGTCTCAGGCGGGGCGCTGGTTTCAGCACCCCTAAGGGGGGCCGCCGAGGGGTATTGCACGGTCCCGTTGGCGGCCGTTCTGTGGGGATGTCGCAAGCGGTTTGCTTGTTCTCTGTCTCAACATCCTTCGTTTGGAGAGCAGATTGTGAGGATGTATCAGGCGGGGCGCTGGTTTCAGCACCCCTAAAGGGGGCTGTCGAGGGGTACTGCACGGTCCCGTTCGCGGCCGTTATGTGGGGCTGTCTCAAGCGGTTTGCCTGTTTTCTGTCCCAACATCCTTCGCTTGGAGAGCAGATTGTGAGGATGTCTCAGGCGGGGCGCTGGTTTCAGCACCCCTAGGGGAGTCCCCGAGGGGTACTGCAGGGTCCCGTTCGCGGCCGTTTTGTGGTGATGTCTCAACCGGTTTGCCTGTGTTTTGTCTCAACATCCTTCGCTTGTAGAGCAGACTGTGAGGATGTCTCAGGCGGGGCGCTGGTTTCAGCACCCCTAGAGGGGGCTGCCGAAGGGTATTACACGGTCCCGTTCGCGGCCGTTTTGTGGGGATGTCCCAAACGGTTTGCCTGTTTTTACCTAACAGCGAAGACTGATAGGTTTCTAGCGGTCTCAAATTATCCCAGCAAAGCAACCTAACAGCGATGTGTAGGAGCATATCTGGAAGCATTCCCCTTAAGATTCAGATGAGAATCCAGTTGTAGAATTCTGCTGTTCTCGCAGTCGTAGTCGCATTCGCGATGACAGTCGGAGTGGCAACGGCAGTCGCAGTCACAGCCTCAGCCTCAGCCTGCCTCAGCCTCAGCCTCAGCCTGCCTCAGCCTCAGCCTGCCTCAGCCTCAGCCTCAGCCTGCTTCAGCCTCAGCATCAGTCTGCCTTCAGCCTCGGCCTCAGCTTCAGTCTGCCGTCGGCCTCGGCTTCAGCCTCAGCCTCAGCCTCAGCTTGCCACAGCATCAGCCTGCCTCAGCCTCAGCCTCAGCCTGCCTCTGCCTGAGCCTCAGCCTGCTTCAGCCTCAGCTTCAGTCTGCCGTCGGCCTCGGCCTCAGCCTCAGCCTGCCTCAGCATCAGTCTGCCTTCAGCCTCAGCCTCAGCCTCAGCCTCAGCCTCAGCCTCAGCCTCAGCCTGCCTCAGCCTCAGCCTCAGCCTGCTTCAGCCTCAGCCTCAGTCTGCCTGCAGCCTCGGCCTCGGCCTCAGCCTGCCTCAGCCTCAGCCTGCCTCAGCCTCAGCCTCGCCTGCCTCAGCCTCAGCCTCAGCCTGCTTCAGCCTCAGCCTCAGTCTGCCTTCAGCCTCCGCCTCAGCCTTCATCCCAGCCTCAGCATCCGCTCAGCCTCAGCAGCAACTCAGCCGGCCTCAGCTCAGCCTCTAGCCTCAGCTCACCTCAATACGGACTTCAGCCCCGGCCTCAGCCTCAGCCTGCCTCAGCCTCAGCCTGCATCAGCCTCAGCCTCAGCCTCAGCCTGCCTCAGCATCAGCCTGCCTCAGCCTCAGCCTCAGCCTGCCTCAGCCTCAGCCTCAGTCTGCTTCAGCCTCAGCTTCAGTCTGCCTTCAGCCTCGGCCTCAGCCTCAGCCTGCCTCAGCCTCAGCCTGCATCACCTCAGCCTCAGCCTCAGCCTGCCTCAGCATCAGCCTGCCTCAGCCTCAGCCTCAGCCTGCCTCTGCCTCAGCCTCAGCCTGCTTCAGCCTCAGCCTCAGTCTTCCTTCAGCCTCGGCCTCAGCCTCAGCCTGCCTCAGCCTCAGCCTGCCTCAGCCTCAGCCTCAGCCTCAGCCTGCCTCAGCATCAGCCTGCCTCAGCCTCAGCCTCATCCTGCCTCAGCCTCAGCCTCAGCCTGCTTCAGCCTCAGCCTCAGTCTGCCTTCAGCCTCGGCCTCAGCCTCCGCCTGCCTCAGCCTCAGCCTGCCTCAGCCTCAGCATCAGCCTGCCTCAGCATTCAAAATGTGGCCAGGGAGTGGAATTCTGGGAACTCGAAGAACACGAAGTGGCCTACAGTTTGCTCCGGGCATTCAAAATCATACCCAGGAATGGAGTTCTGGGAAGTCCAAGAGCACGAAGTGGCCTACAGTTGGCTCCGGGCATTCAAAATGTGGCCCGGGAATGGAGTTCTGGGAACTCGAAGAGCACGAAGTGGCCTACAGTTGGCTCCGTGCAATCAGAATGTGGCCCGGGAATGGAGTTCTGGGACCTCGAAGACCACGAAGTGCGTTACTGTTGGCTAAAAACATGATCGACCCACGAACCCGGAAAGGACTATAGAAGTATAAGGCATGGCAACGTTTCAAAGACACTTGATTGGGCGACGGGCAAATGCAGTGCTGAATGTACAGATCTTGATGTACTGTGCCGAGGGCTGTGCTGTGCTGGCCGTGCTGAACTGCGATGTGACATGCCGCGATTGTGCTCTATATAGCCTTGTGGATCGAGTCCTCCCTGGCATCCGAGTCCTGACAGAACTGATCTGGATCTTAAGCTCGAGCTGCCTGAGCAGATGGTAGCTCCCAGAACTAATCGACAGAGGGGACATGCCAGGAGGACGCGCCGCGAAACGTCCCAAGGGACGCGCCAGGCGGCGTGCCAGGGGACGTGCCATGTGCACGCACCGCGGGACGTGCCAAGGGGACGCGCTACGGAACGTGCCAATGGACGTGCCGCGGGACGTGCCAGGGGACGCGCCGCGCAACGTGCCAGGTGGACTCGCCAAGGAACGCGCCAAAGAACGTGCCAGGATGCAATGTTGAATGTATCGATCTTGATGTACCGTGCCGACGGCTGCGCTGTGCTGGCCGTGTTGAACTGCGATGTGACATGCCACGATTGTGCTCTATATATAGCGTTGTGGATCGAGTCCTCCCTGGCATCCGAGTCCTGACCGAACGGATCTGATCTTAAGCGTCGAGCTGCTGAGCAGATGGTCAGCTGTCCCATAGCTATCGCAGGGGGACATGCCAGTAGGTCGCGCCGCCGCGACGTCCAAAGGACCGCGGCCAGTCGGCGTGCCAATGATACGGTTGCCTGGGCAAGCCGCGTGCGTGCCAAAGGGGGGCCCCGCGGTACGGAACGTGCCAATCTACGTGCACCGCGCGACGTGCCAGGGGGACTCGCCACGGGACGCTCCGCGGAACGTGCCAGGCAACATGCCAAGCTGCAATGCTCAACGTATCGATATTGATGTACCGTGCCGAGGGCTGTGCTGTGCCTGGGCGACCTGGACACGTGAAAACACGCGTTTCGCTCAAGACGTTCTCAGCACATCCTCACGCTAGACATCCGCCTGGGCAACCTGGACACGTGCAAACAAGCGTCTCGATCGAGACTTCCTCGACACATCCTCATGCTAGACATCCGCCTGGGCGACCTGGACACGTGAAAACAAACCTCTGGTTCGAGAAATCCTCAACAAATCCTCATGCTAGACATCTGTCTGGGCAACCTGGAGGCGTGAAACCAAGCGTCTCGCTCGAGACATCCTGAAGACCTGGGCACGTGAAAACAAGCATTTCACTTGAGAGATCCTCTGAATTCAAGCCCCCAGGAGAGGACAATATTTAACACAAAACAAGCGTTTCGCTCGAGACATCCTCAACAAATTCTGAAAAACAAGCGTTTCGCTAGGGACATCCTCGAATTTGAATTCGCCGGCCCTACGCGACCTCGTTATTTATCGCAAAAGAAATTCGCCGGCCCTACAGCCGTCAAAACCGGGGGGGAAACCAACTAAAAGAGAACCCTGGGCTCAGGCCCTTTCCGGGAAAATTCCCGGCATCCTCCCCCGGATCCCGCCCAGACCCCCCTGGGGCGTCATGATGCTCTCCCTTGACCCTACTAGAAACCTATCAGTCTTCGCTGTTATGTAAAAAGAGCATCATGACTCCCCAGGGGGGTCTGGGCGGGATCCAGACGGGTGCCGGGAACTCTTTTTTTAGCCAACAGTAACACACTTCGTGGTCTTCGAATTCCCAGAACTCCATTCCTGGGCATGATTTTGAATGCCCGGAGCCAACTGTAGGCCACTTCGTGTTCTTCGAGTTCCCAGAACTCCATTCCTGGGCATGATTTTGAATGCCCGGAGCCAACGGTAGGCCACTTCGTGGTCTTCGAGTCCCCAGAACTCCATTCCCGGGCCACATTTTGAATGCCCGGAGCCAACTGTAGGCCACTTCGTGGGGTGGTCTTTCGCGTTCCCAAGTGTGAATTCCTGGGCATGCTTTTTGAATGCCCGGAGACCAACTTTATGCCACTTCGTGTCTTCGAGTTCTCAACTTCGACTGTGATCGGCCACTTTTGAATTGCTGACGAATATCGGGTGATCGGCTGAGGCCGGCTGAAGGCTGAGGCTGGCTGCGCCTGAGGCCGAGTCTGAAGGCCGACTGAGGCTTAGGCTGAACTAGGCTGAGGCTGAGG